CCCAAGGCCAGCCTGAACTGCATCGTGAGACCCTGTCTCAAAACGACCAAAAAAATTACAAATATGTTTATTGATATATAATAAACCCTATCTTGGAGAATTTAGTTTACAGAATAAAAGCACCATAATAGGATCTGTGCAAGTTGGGTGTGGTCACACATCTAAGACCCCCAGGTGCTCCAGAGGCTGTGGCAGGAGGCTTGTGAGTTTTAGGCCACCGGAGTAATTTAGTTAACCTGTCTTGAAATAAAAAGGGCTGGGGATGCAGCAGAGCACTTGCTTAGCATGTCAAGGGCCTAGGTTCCATCCCTAGCACCTCAAAAATACAAAAGAAGTGAAATATGTTTGTATGCTTGTAAATGTTTGTGATCAATAACTATAACAGTTCTATTTAATTCAGAATAGGGGTGTAGTAGACAGAGTATAATAGAAAAAGTAAAGACTAGAAGTTTTTTCTTGGACTCAGGACACAGCTCAATGGTACAGAACTTTCCTGGTATGCATGAGGCCTGGGGTTCAGCAGTTCATACTACCACCAAAGAATAAGAGGGGAAGAAGAGAAAGTTTATTTAGTAAGGATGACATGTTTATGAGTGAGCTTTTAAAGTTTTTCTCTGCTTTTTTTTTTTGTCTTTTTCCTTTTTATCAGTACCGGGGATCTAACTCACGACTGCCTGCTTACAAGGCAGGTGCTTATGCTGCGGAGCTAAATCCCCAGCCCCCTAAAGTTTTTCTCAAACTATGTAGTATTATACTATCTTGAAAATAAAAAGTCCTTTCTCTGAAAAAACTAAATTTAGCCATCATGGTGGCAGATACCTGTGATCTCAGCATTCCGGATCCTGAGGCAGGAGGATTGCTACAAGTTCAAGAATAGCCCAGGCTATCTAGTAAACTCAAGACCAGCCTGAACCACATAGTAAGTGTCTGTCTCAAAAAAAGCCAAAAGTAAATAAGTAAATAAACAAAGCTACCCCCCCCTTATGACATTAGGAGAAAGCACAACACAACTTTGCACCCTGCTACAATTAACAGCTTTGTGGAAACAGACAGCTCGGTGGATAAGGGAGTGGTTAGTGCAGCAGAAAATCCCGCCCCACCCCCGCCAATGTACTGCAGTTATGGCCGGGTAGCAGCTCCTGTTACTTCTATTTCTTAGAAATGGCTGGTCACTATGATGCACAGCTGGCCACTATGATGCACAGTGTAAGAAGCAATCAAAGACAATCAAATACACTACCCCTGTGCCACCTCCTCTTACAAACCCATAATAACTCCTTACCTAAGCCTTCTGGGCCTGACATTTTGAGGGACAACTGATCTCCGGTCAACTGTCCAATGTTAAATAAATTTGCCTCCAAATCCTGGGTGTCATTTTGGTGTTTTTGTTGCCATGACACTAGAAGGGGGTATGCTGAGATTGCTGAGGGTTTTATTTATTGAGGGTTTGCAAAAGGTACAAATCAAAGATGAGGAGGACTCTTTTCCAGTCACAGGAGACTACAGCAAAAAAGTCGCTGCCTGCAGTTCAGGAAGGGTCCTCCCTAGGAGCCTCGCCATGCCACACACCATCTCTGATTTCCAGCCTCCTTAACTTACTGTAGCACACTGAGCCACCTCCCAGCCCTTTTTTATTTCTTATTTTGAGACACAGTCTCCCTAGGTGCTCAATTGCACAGACTGGACTAGGAACTGCAGTGCTCCTGCCTTAGCTCTCCAGAGCACTCATGTTAAGGTGGGTGCTAGAATGCCAGCTTTGTTTACTTTTTTGCCAGTGCTTTCTTTTGCTATGGAATTAGTCTTTACTGCCTGGGGTAAATCGGTGACTACGGGCATCTGTGAAAGGCAATCCTTGTGACCTGGGACTTCTATTTCTGGAAGCTCATTAGAGGATTGCCTTACACTAGGGCTTACTGTTGGGAAATGGAACTTTGGGATTGCTGCTGCCTGTTTCTCTGCTAGGAAGTGAAGCAATCGGTGGGGAGAACAGAGCAAGGGGGCTGAGCCTGGCAGAAAGGGCCCAGTGCAAGAGCAGGATTCCCTGACTTCTGTGGCTGTGAAAGTCCCAGAGGGAGGCTGACTTAGCTGACCCAGGAACAGGTCAGAAGGCCCCTGGCCTCTGGACTAGAGAAGCTTTAGAGGCATTAAGGGGCAAAGCTATATGCGGTCCTGATAATGTTCTTTTGCTGCTTCTTTATTTTGATATAGGGTCTTGCTAAATCATTAATTTGGAATCCTCCCACAAGAACCTTAAAGAATGTTGGAATTATAGGCCTGTATCACCATGTCTGGCTGATAATGTTGATTTTAGGTCAATTCTCAAACATATAGGAAAGGGCACAAAACACAATACCAGCCCTGCCTGCTAACAAACTTTCTTTCTTTCTTTCAGAGGTAGTTTGAGGCAGGGTTTCTCCATATAATCCAGGTTGACCTCAAACTGGCATTGATCTTCCTACCTCAGCCTCCCAAGTTCCAGGATTGTAGGCTGTGTGCCACACACCTGGACTAGACCAAGCTTTTTATAACTGGATTGCACTGAAGTTTTCTTTCTTTCTTTCTCTCTCTCTCTCTTTTTTTTTTTGGTCTTTTTGAGACAGGGTCTCTATGCAATTCCAGCTGGCCTTGAGCTCACTTTGTAGCCCAGGCTAGTCTCAAACTCACAACGATCCTCCTGCCTCAGCCTCTGGAAGTGCTGGGATTACAGGCATGAGCCACCACGCCCAGCTTGCACTGCAGTTTTCATCAGAGCTCATCCATGAGGGGTGGAGGAGCCCAGGGTACAAGGCCTCCTGTGACCCCAGTCCCCACCCACCTTGATGACTGAGAGTTTGAGTGCTGTGGGATGTTGGGGGGCAACCAAGGCTTTCCAATATGAATGCAGGAATCTAGATATACTTCTCGTGTTTTTATTGGCTCACTAAAATCTATAAGTACTGGGGCTGGGGATTTAGCTCAGTGGTATAAGTGCCTGCTTTGCAAGCGCATGGTCGTGAGTTTGATCCCTGGTACTGATAAAAAAAAAAAAAATCTGTAAGTACTTGGAGAAAAAAGAATGCAGAGGAAGACTTCAAAGTCTGGAATCTTCTTTTTTTTTTTTTTTCAATTTACCAAAACCGCTTTTTTTGTGCAGCTTATTTTTATTTACTAATTTTTTACAGTGCTGAAGATCAAACCCAGGACCTTCATTAGCACATGCTTGGCAAGTGCTCCATCACTGACTGAGCCACATTCTGAGCCTCTCTCTGTCTCTCTCTGTCTCTCTGTTTCTGTCTCTGTCTCTATTTATTTGGTGCCAGGAGTCAAACTCACAACCTGTCACTTGCCAGGCAGATGCTGTGCCATGGAGCTATATCCCTGGCTCCTGTTTTTGTTTTTTGTTGCTGTTTTTTTTTTTAAGAGTTTCACTATGTAGCTCAGGCTGGCCTCACACACATGGTAAGCCTTCTGCCTCAGTCTCTTGAGTGCTGGGGAATACAGGCATGTGCCACCACATGCTTGACTCCCTTCTCTTTTTAAAATCTTCCTTTTATTCTTTCTTATTTTTTCTTTTTCCAGCAGAGAGGATTGAACTTATAGAATGTCTACTACTGAGCTGCATCTCAGTTCTCTTAAAATTTTGAGATAGGATTTTGCTAACTAGTCTAGGTTGGCCTCAACCTTACCATCCTCCTGGCTCAGCCTCCTGAATAGCTTGATAACAGGTGTACCTCAAGGCTCCTAGCTTCCCTCTTTTAAATATGAGCTGATAGGTTGTCCTCAACACACATTAACACATGCTGCCAACTTCTGCAAAGCAAATCACAGACTATATTGAGAAAGAACTATAATCAGCCTTGGCCACTGTGAGAGCTATTTAGGCTTTGCCTTTTTCTCAGTTGCAGCCAGGGTCACTGGGACATGCTGCCCGACATGTTCTGGACACAGGGGATGACCTACACCAGGCTAGGACACAGGAGGCGGCTATAGAATCTCCCTAGCACGCTGCACCACGCCAATCACACACCTGTCCACACTGGGGCACTTTTGGCCCTGTCCAAACCCGGACTGCACCTGATCAAGTATCTCCCCAAAGTGCTAATCAGCAAGGGCAGTGCTACACTTTCTATGGTTTAGGGCAGTGGGTATAGGGCCACTCAGGAGTAGACACATGGCCAGAATTGTTTTCTTTAATTCTGTTTCATTATCTTTGAGACAGACTCTCACTATATAGTTCAGGCTGACCTTAAATTTACCATGTAGTCCAGGCTGGCCTCAAACTCACAGTGAGCATCCTGTCTCAGCCTCCTGAGTACTGGGATTACAAATGTACACCATTATGCTCAGCTGTTTTTGTTTTTGTTTTTGTTTTTCTTTTCTTTTTTTCTTTTTGAGACAGGGTCTCTTTATGCAGTTCAGGCTGGCCTTGAGCTCACTTTGTAGCCCAGGCTGGTCTCCAACTCCCAATGATCCTCCTGCCTCAGCCTCCCGAATGCTGGGATTACAGGCATGAGCCACCATGCCCGGCTCCTTTTAGTTTTTCTTCATTTGTTTATTTTTTCCCATTGGATTAAACTGAAGGCCTTTTGCACACTAAGCATTAGCTCCACTGCCCCAGCCCTAATATTTTTTCTTTATACTCTAGCCACCTTTTTAGGTAAATCTCCTCTCACTTTAAAGCAAGGAAGCTAACTGTTCACTTGAAAAGCTATAGTCATGAGGTAGGAGGATCACTGTGAGTACAAGGCCAGCCTGGAATACATGGTGAGAGCTTGTCTCAAAAAGAGAAAAGCTTTTTTTCCAAATCCATTTTATTTCAAGGAAGAGAGAGAGAGAAAAGCTGAGCTGGAGATATATCTTAGTGGTACTATAAGTACCTTCCTGACAAGCACAAGGTCCTGAGTTTGATTTCTGGTATAAAAGAGAGAGAGAGACAGAGACAGAGACAGAGACAGAGAGAGAGCGAGAGAGCGAGCGAGAGAGCGAGAGAGAGAGAGACTATAGTCCATACACAAGGACACTTTCGTGTATTTTTACTCTTTATTATACATGGTATCCTCCATACAGTCTGGTTTTTTGAAAGGAAGACAGACCCAAGGTAATGCGATAAGCATCTTCTTTTAATCTGGTCAGGGCGCCACTGGCTCACACACTCCCCCATATGGACAGCACACTCTTGGAGAATGTGCAGCCTGGACACCAGCCTGCCCCAGGGCAGGTGCTGCTGTGTGAAAGCAGAGCTCCAGTGTGTGTGTGTGGGGGGAATGACTCAGGGTCAAAGAACTCAGGTTGGAATTGCAGCTCTGCTGTTTCTTGTGTTGACCCTGAGCCTATATCTTCTGCTGCAAGATGCAGATAGTAGTAAACCCTTTGACACAGGGTTGCAGAGAAGATTAAAGGGGTAATGGAGGCCTTTAGCTTGAGGCTCACATGGAGGTTGTTAGAGGCTTGGTTCTTTGGGCTGCATTCCTCTCACTGGATGCAAGGGTTATGTTGGATAATGTTTGTGAAGACAACGTTGGTTATAATTAGAAATGGGTAACGGAGTCCTGAACCTAAGACAAGACAGTGTAGGTGGGGATGGGGATACCTAGAAGGGAAAGTAGTTCTGAAAGGTGCCAATGTTTCTTTCTTTCTATTTTTTAAACATTTTTTTGCTACTGGGGATCAAACTCACAACCTCGAGCTTACTAGACAAGCGCTTGAACTGCTGCATTAAATCCCCAGGCTCTTTCTTTCTTTTTGAGACAGGGTCTCACTATGTAGCCCAGGAAGGCCTTGAACTTGCATGGATCCTCCAGCCTCAACCTCCTGAGTACTGGGATTACAGGCGTACACCACCATGCCTGGCTCCATTTAACTACTGTATTCTTGATCAAGTGCCACATTGGCTTTATATTCCAATGTGTTATCAAAAGGTGATTTCTTACTGTTATGTTTTTTTTTTGTAGTTCTGTATTACGTGTACCCTTACACCGCTTTGTTTTGTTTTGTTTTTCTCTTTTTCCTCTTAAATTTAAAAAAAAAAGTAATTTCAGTTCTTTATTGAGTGTCTTTTTTAGTATCAAGAATCAAACTCAGAGCCTTGTGCTTAGTAATTTCAGGTTTTCTTTTGCACAAAGTAATTCCAATTCTTCATAAACACCACAGCGCAATCACACCTAAGAAAACTAACTATATTGATTTGTTTGTTTGTTTTGTCTTTTTTTTTTTATTGGTACCAGGGATCGAACTCACGACTGCCTGCTTGCAAGGCAGGCGCTTATGCCGCTGAGCTAAATCCCCAGCCCCCAAAATAACTATATTGAGATACAATTTTTTTTTCTATGAGACAGGATCTCTATGTTGTCCAGGCTGCCCTTGAACTTGTGGTGATCCTCCTGCTACAGCCTTCCAGCCTTGCACACAGGGCTGGGGGGAGGGAGATAACACCTTTGTCTCCATTTCTTTCCTAGGAAAGAAGTCAGGTCCACCGGGGTACTGGGCCAATTAGGGGGTGGGAGCAAAAGGGCTGAGATCTCTGGATCTCTGGAAGCTGGGACAGCAGTTCAAGGCTGGCAGCAGGAAGGTTGTTCGAAGCCATCTATGGAAGGCCTCTGAGAGCATGACTGTGCTTGTGCAGCAGGCCGCAGGGAAGTGACGCTAGCACCCGGGGACAGCAGGGAGCAGGCAGGTCTCGGAGTTTCTCGGAGATCTTGGAGGGATGCAAACTGCAGCCACCACACCCCTCTCAGAGACAGAGACAGAGAGAGAGAGAGAGAGAGAGACAGAGAGAGAGAGAGAAGTGGCGGGAGGAGTCTTAGCTGTGAGTTCACAGGCAGTGAACACCCCCATCTCCCCTCTGTGGTTGCCCGCGTCGGCCATTCCTGCCCAGTGATAATGACTGGCGTGACCCAACACTGGCTCTTCTCAATTGAGTCCTAAGTTTCCTTACCCATTACGTGGTGATGGATGTCTATTTGGGAAGTAGTGCTCAAACCGGGTTGCGTTTGTGTAGTGCTGGATGTGTGTGTGTGTGTGTGTGTGTGTACCCTTCAGTGAAATCCTAGGGGCTGGTGCAGCTCAGTGGTAGAGGGCTTGCCTAGCATGCAAAAAGACCCTTAGTTCCATCCCAAGTACTCATTCGCCAAAAGTTTCAGATTTTAGCCCGGTGTGGTAGTGCACACCTGTACTCCTAGAAATCTGGGAGGTTGGTGCAGGATTGTAAGTGAGATGTCAGCCTGATAGCAAGATCCTGTCTGAAAATTTTAAGAAGTTGGTATCGGGCACTCCCACCCCTTAAAAAGTTTTTTAAAAGGGCATAATGGTGCACACCTGTAATCCTTGTGCTGGTGCTCTGGAGGCTGAGGCAGGACGTTCACTGCTTGTTGGTCAGCCTAGAAATACAGGGAGACCCTGTCTCAAAAAAACTAAACAAAAAAAAAGTTTTTTTTTTTTTAAAGGGCTGCGATTAAGGTGTGTTATGTAGGTGTACCAATTCCCCATGATGAATGTAATCATTGCAAACGTGTACTAGTAAAAATAAAAATTTTGAAAAAGGGACTGGGAATGTAGCTTGTACAAAGGCACTGGGAGCCAGGGATTTAGCTCAGGGGCATAAGCGCCTGCCTGGCAAGCTCAAGGCTATGAGTTCAATCCCTGATATTAAAAAAAAAAAGAACTAAAATAAAAAAAAATTCGTGGCCCCAGTGGCTCCCTGCCTGCTGCTGGGGGCTGCCCTATATGCTTTTCCTTTTTTTTTTGTACCTTGAATCAAACTGAGGACCTCATGTTTGCCAGGCAGGCACTGTGCTGCTGACCTATATCCCCAGCCTTTCCTTTTGAGTCCTTTTGCTGCAATAAACTAGCCACCCACAAGGCAACTTCCCTGGACCTGTGAGTCCTGGGAGATACAAGGGGGAAATGTACCTTCTAGCCTGCTACCTGTCAGATCTGCCGAGTTCATGTTCTCTGAAGTAGAGGAATGAATTCTAAGGAACAACGAGATTAAAAGTAAGAAAATTGGGCTGGGGGTTTAGCTTAGTTGCTTAAGTGCCTGCCTGGCAAGCGTGAGGTCATGAGTTTAATCCCCAGTACAAAAAAAAAAAAAAAAAAAAAAAAAGAGTAGGAAAATTTATTTATTGGGGAATAAGTTTGGGGATTAGGAATAGCTCCTGAGAGATAGGAGGAGGCCCAAAATAGGTTGTCAACAAACTCACATCTCTGAGAAAGTTTTACAGAGCAAAATCATAAGGTGCATATACAACATAGGTCAAAATTATAACTGACCAATTAGAACCTTGCTTTGGCTACACAGTGAGTTCACAGCTAGCCTGAAAAGCTAGCAAGACCAGGTCTCAAAAAACAAAACGAACAAATCCAACCCCCCCCCAAGCTATAACCATCCAATAAGATTACAAGTATTAAGAAAGAAAAACAGAGAAAGATTACAAGTATAGCCTTGGCTAACATTGATCCAACAGAGGCAAGAAGATATAGATGACATCATTACCATTGGTAGATAACCTATGTAACCTGTAGCCTTGACTTTAGTCTTAGTTCTAGTTTCAGTTCTAGTTTCAGGCTTAGTCTTACTGGGTGGGGTAGTATGGCCCATCTCTAAGGAGATAATGGTTTATTTATATAGGAAATCTCAAAAGGGTGAGGCCAGTAATCTCATACCACTTATCTCTTAGGGAAATGCATAAACCTGGTCACTGTGACTTCAGTCCTCTTTAGATGTGCCTCCAGCCACAGTTAGGATGTGTTCTCATCCTCTGCACTGACTCCCCAAGGACACAGCCCCGTTAGACTGCTTATATATCTCCACCTAATTTAGCTTCTATGTTAGCAACCCCCAAAGCTGGGAGTGGGTCTGGGACACAACACACCAGTGAAAAGGGGGATTCTTCAAGGCAATTGTTTTTTTTGAGCAGGGTGTCACTATATAGTTGAGAGTGGTCTTAAACTCTGTGCAGCAGGTGATGCACATCGATAGCCCCATTTCTTTGGAAGCAGAAGCAGGAGGGTCACTCAACCCTGGGAGTGCAAGGCCAACCTGGGCAACTTACTGACACAGTAACATCCTGTCTTAAAAATAAAAAGAGCTGAGGACATAGTTCAGTAAAAGGTCAAAAAAAAAAAAAAAAAAGGTCCTGGTGGGGGGAGGTCCTAGGCTCAATCTATAGTATTGGAAATTATAAAAGAATCCGATCTGGGTGTGGCAGTACAGGCCTGTAATCAGCCCTTGGGAGGCTGAGACCGGAAGACTGAGAGTTCATGGCCAACCTGGGCTAAGTAGTGAGACCTTGTCTCAAAAAATAAAAACAATGCCAGAGTGGTGCCACATGCCTGTAATGTAATGCTCAGGAGGCTGAGGCAGGAGGATTTCAAAGAGTTTAAAGCCAGCCTAGGCTATATAGTGAGTTTAAGGCTAGTCTGGACTATGTAGTGAGACCTTGTCTCAAAAACACCAAAACAAACAAACAAAAAACTCCAACTAACTAACTTAATAAATGGCTAAGCATGTAGCTCAGTGCAAAGGATTTGAGCTCAACCTCCATTACTGGAGAGAAAAGCAACTTTACTGTAAAATGGTATAAGCAAAGTGTGGTGGTACAGCTGTAGTCTCAGCCTTTGGGAGGCTGAGACAGAAAAGACGGAGAGTTTGAGGCCAGTCTGGCCAAGCTGTCCAATGAGACCCTGTCTCAAAACAAAAGCAAAGAAGTTTGTCACATCATGCCCACAGCAGCTTCATGCATCTCATTCACATATATTGTGCCTTTAAAAATTTTTTAATTTATTTTTCAGTATTGGGGACTGAACCCAGGGCACTCACACCAAGCTATACCTCCAGCCCTTTTTGTTTGTTTGCTTAAGTCTAGCTAAATTTCCCAGGCTGGACTCAAACTTCCAATCCTCCTGCCTCAGTCTCCCAAATGCTGGACTCATGGGCTTGTGCCTGGAATATGTTTTTGAGACAGGGTCTCCCTGTGTAGTCCAGACTGGCCTTGAACTCACCATGTAACAAGGCTGGCCTCCAACTCAAGATGATCCTCTTGCCCCGCTCCTGAGTGCTGGAATTCCAGATGTGCATAACCACACCTGGGTAAAAACATTCTTTGAATTCTGCCAATCCCTTCCTTTATCTTAGAATCAGGTTTCTGCTCTTTACTTTATCAACTAAAACAATTTAGAGATTTAAAGAAATTTTAAGGGATTTTGGGTGGAATGGGACTAGAAAGAAAGAAGTATAGAGAGAGACCTAGGGAATGACATGGACAACCTTGGGGAATTCCACTGTGTCCTGGAGTTGTAGTGTTCTACTATATATATTTTTTTGAGACAAGACCTTGCTATGTAGTCCTGATTGCCCTTGAATTTGAGGTGCTCCTCCTGCCTCAGTCTCCTGAGTGCTGGTCTACAGGTGTGTACCACCATATCAAAAAGTCTTGTTAGAAGTAGTTTTTGTCAGGTAGGGAGGCAGGAAGACGCTGCAAGTTTCAGGCCAGCCTGGGTTACACAGTGAGTTCGAGGCAAGCCTGAGCTATGTAGAGACCCTGTCTCAAAAAATAAACAAAAAGTGTAATATTTTTGGCTGGGCATAGTAGCACATGGCTATCATCCCAGCATTGTGGAAACTGAGGCGGAAGGATCACTGCAAGTTTGAGGTCAGCCTGACCTACACAGTGAGTTCAAGGCCAGCCTGGCTGGGAATATGTGATGAGACCCTGTTTCAGGGAAAAAAAAGTACAATTTTTAAATTATGATTTTCCTTGTTTCCTTTCAATGTATCTTTATTTCTTTTATCCAAACTCATCTTCCTCCCTCACCTGAAACTTTGATCTTTTATTCCTAATGGCCACAGAATGACCACAGGTCCATCTTCTTATAACTGCCTCAGGTGCTACATGCTATTAATGCATTCAGTCCTCATGAACTGTGTGGCTAAGGAAATTGTTTTCTTTTTGCGGGGGGAGACACTGGGACTTGAACTCAGGACCTCATTCTTGCCAGGCAGGCACTGTGCTGCCGAGCTAAATTCCCAGTCTGCAAACTGGTTTTAAATGAGCACTGAGTTTACTGATCCTGAGAGGCAGCTCATGGCTTGGTCCATGGGAGAAATTCTATATCTATTTGTTTTACTTTGGTTTGATTTTTTGAGACAAGATCTCACTGTCTATGTAGTTCAGACTGGCCTTGAGCTCACTGTGTAGCCCAGGCTGGCCTCAAACTTATAGTGATCCTCCTGCCTCAACCTCCCAAGTACTGTGATCACGGGCAAGAGCCACCTCATCTGGCTACATCTATTTGTTGAGGAGACAAAAAAGAATACAGACAGATCATAAGGAGGATCAGGGAGAAGATATCAGTCATATCTCTGGGTCTGTCTTAAGCAGCAGATAGGCGACATCACTGCAAAAGGAGGGAAACAAGTGAGTCACTTGCTCCGTCACACCCTATCTGCAGTGCAGGTTTGTGTGACAGACCTCGGTTTGGGCAACACCAGCATAGGAGGGGTGAATGCAGTCAGAGTCACTGCAACTGCCCAGCAGGCCTGCTGAGTGAGGAGACGGGGGCAAAGCCCCAGCAACTGACATTAGCCAGGGACTGGAGATGGAAGCCAGAGAAACAGGAAGCAGCCACCCAGGAAGGCCAGTGAGACTGAGGGCAGGTGACTCCCAGGAGCTGGGAAAGAGGGAAAGGAATGTGTTGTGGAGTCTGCAGGCAAGACTTGGCTGGGACATGCTGACCCCTGTCCTCCTCCTCCTTTTCCTTCTTCTTAGTACAAGGTCTTACTATGTGTCTCAGGCTGGCCTCCAGCTCATGGTGATCCTCCTGCCTCAGCCTTTCAAGGGCTGGGGTTCCAGGCTGTACTACCATGCCTGACTAATAATACTCTCTCTTTTTAAAGCATATAAACAACAATGTATTTCTCACAGTCCTAGAGGCTGAAAGTCAGATGGCAAGCCAAGGGACGATGTCCAGTTTCACTGATGAGGTATACAAAGAGGGTGGGGAACCTCCAGTGACTCCACCTCCTGGCATCCATTTGTGTCCCTGGTCAACCCTTCTCTTTGAAGCTGTGACTAGGAGCTGGACTTGGAGTCTTTGTCCCTCTCACAGAACATGTTTTAGGTGTTTTGTTTCTTAAAAGATGGGGTCTCAAAAAAACAAAAAGATGGGGTCTCAGCTGTGTGTAATAGCACAGACCTATAATAAGAGAACTTAGAAGCCTGAAGCAGGAGAATCTCTTTGAGTTGGAGGCTAGCTTGGGATACCGAGTGAGTCCAAAGCCAGCCTGAGCCACACAGAGAGATCCTGTCTCAAACAAAACAAAGCTGAGTGACACGTCTGTAATTCCAATACTCAGGAGGCTGAGGCAGGAGGATGGCCC